TTTTTTTTAAACAAGGGAGCAGTGTAGAATTAGTCAGGAAAAAAAAAAAGATATAATTTGTTTCACTGAGGGGAGAGATTAGGTATTCTTCAGTAAAGAAACTTTAGAAAAAATATTCCAGAAAAGCCTTTAATATCAAAAAGAATGAAATTACTCTGCCTGGAAACTGTTTTTAGTTTAAATAGGGAATAAGTTATTGCTCTACCACCAATATTTGGCAGACCTAGTCTTTCTAAAATTCAAAGTTAAATACCCATTGCAGTCTCTTTCGTTACTGAAAACAAGGAAATTTCAGAGCGCGTAATTATGTAGACTTTAACTCCTTTGCAATCTTGTGTATCTCTTTCAAACTATTAAATGTAGCAATTATAAGAATTGAAATGATACCTATCACTTAACTTAAATTTCTTTGGATATCTTGAAGACTGGAAAACCTTTTCCTAACCTGGGAACGTGTGATGGGAGGAAGGGATTGTTTTGTTTTAAATACGAAGTATAATAGTCTCTTTTTAGTTACAATTTTCAGATGAGTTACTAATTTTATGAAATATTTCTGCATGTGAAGTATCCAATATAAATACAGATCTAATGCAGAACTAATCCAGATGCTGACACGTTATTTTTATGACACTACTGCAATATTCTGGAAGTACTTGGTTTGTACAGTATAGATATGAAACCCAAAAGTTATTTCATATTTATTTTTAGATGGTGTAGCTGAAGTTAAGGAAGCAGAAGACTCTACCCTTCATCAGCATAAATGGTACAAAAATTCAGAGTGAATTGTTTTTACGTTTTTATTTTATTTTTTTTATTGTAATTTACCCTCCAGTCTCTGAGTATTGCTCTTTAATGAGATTAATTGGTTTTGTGTATCTCTCCTTAACGTGATTCTGTTGTTTAAAAGAAAAAAAGATCTAGTTTTATTTTGAGACTGTGAATGCCTGCAACATGGAATTATGGCCCATTTTCTCTTTGGAATGTGGATCCAGTTAATGCAGATTTGCAGCTGGTTTTAAGATACCTTGCAAGAAGAAATTGTAAGGTGCTTTGTGAATAAGACCATTTGTGTAGCATGCAATAGAAATGAATGCTAAATCCTTTGCTAATTTAGGCCAGGGTTGTTAGCGATTATGAATATACTGAGGGACATCTTGCATTCAGTCTGTCGGAAAGCGAGCAGATGGCGGACCCTGAAATATTCCTAAACTTCTTATGGACTTCGGGAGCATACAGAGCTTCCTTGGATGACTTATTCTTTCTCTTCTATCTATCGTGCTAGATATGGGTGATTAACATTTTCTTGTGCAAGTACCAGAATGTTCATTTCGTATTCCAGCCTATTGAAAAAGTTCTCGGTAGGAAGGGGTGGGGGGGAGCGTAATTGAAGATTGAATCTACGTGTTATCTCCTTCTGCAGCTCTTCTACCACAGTGGAAGGTCTTTTCCAGTAAGTAACATATGTTAAGGTATGGCTCATCAGTTAGGTTAATGAGGGCTCTCACATGACTTAAGATATGATAAGAGAAACAACCTGAATGAACTGATATCACGGACTCCTAATAGAGTTTGTCTTCCATTGGTTACAATCTTTCAGAATTTGGTGGAAACTTGAGATTTAGCAGCAGTTGAATAAGCAGTTGAAAACCTTGATGAGAAACGTTTATTTGTCTCTGGCTGGTTAAAAAGTTTGCTTTCTTTGAGGATGATCTTGCTGCTGTTACCTTTTCCATTGCCATTTCAAGATTAGACTATGATAGTATACTTAAATGAGGCAATGTATTTGATTAAAGTTGATGCACTGTATGTCTTCCCACTTTAGCTAATAGATACGCTCCTCCAAAGAATGCTACAAAAGCACTACAGTATCAGACTTGGCTGACAGAGTATAATGTGCTTTCCTTACATGCTATAGTGTCAAATTATTATGGCTGAGTACCCACGCAGATGCTAAAACTCAGCTGCTTGTTTGCACCCTAATGGGAAAACCATGATTGTATGTAAGAGAGCTTGTCTAAAACTTTTTTTTATTAAGTCCTGTTAAATTTTATTTATTTTAGCTTTTATCCAGAAATAAAATGGTTTCAAAATGAAGAGACTGTTACAGCGAAGGTAAAAATAGCAAGTATAGTTGACTATAAATGCGAATTCTCTAAAGAGAAGGTGGTTTTCAGGTAAATATAAGAAATGTAAGTTTAATAAGCGTGAAGTTTGACTCTTGGCTTCCATTTAACTTTCTTAAACTTTTTTGATGGTGTAGTGCTTGTTCGGGAGACAAATTGTATTTGGCTGACATGGAGCTGCATCAGCATATACTTGCAGAAAAGTCCGCGTGTGTGATTAAGGATAAAGAGGCAATTATTGTCCTCACAAAAGAGAAGAGAGAATCGTGGTGCAAGTTACTGAAGAACAAGGTGAAATGGAACTTAATTTGAAAATTATTGAATGTTCTGAACATACTAGCTGTGTTTCAGTATGAGTATTTCAAACAATGTTTTTGTTAACAGAATTCTCATGTGTCTTTTGATTTTGAACATTGGGAAGATTTTGAAGATAAAGGCCCATTTCCAGTTGGTAAGAAATGAACAAATGTTGGTGTTTATCATGCATAAAATAATAAGCATGCTAATTTTTGTTGTGTAGACTTTATCTGAAATATTCAGTTGTTTCAGATAATGTGATGCTCTTGACTGATTTGCTGAAGTCTTCTGAAAACAAATGAAAGTATCTCTATTACCTAGCCACATATAGCAAGGCATTTTTCTTTTAGAAAAGCACAGACAACAAAAAGTAGTTTGGTAAAGTAGTTTGTAGTGTTTTGGTCTAGTTTGTAGTCTACAGAAGTCTACAGTGCTTTTTTTTATACTCCTATATTAAAAAAATATGGTTTTGTTGTGAAACTATTGGTTTTCTCACTTCATAATGTTACATCTCTCTTCATAACTTGTAGGTGTTAAAAAGTTGCATTGCACTAATGTAGTAACAGAAGAATTGATGGACTCTTCAGAAGACAGTGGAACAGAAAGCGATGATTAATTTGGAGATAAATCTCTATCCTCTGTTAAGATTTATCTTTCAAAATAGCTTCTCTCTGCTTGTATGAAAATTTCCACTCAAGTGGGTAGAACTAATTATACAGGTTGCAGAACTGTCCTTAATTAGGTAGAAGGTAAATAGTAAACAAAACCCTTACCAACAGGCTTTCAGAATCTGAAAAGCGTTCTACAGACGAAGAACATTATGTATATTTTTCAATGCCTTCACTTTAAAATTGTTGGGATTTATTGATGGTGTGCACATATGTAAATGTATGCTGTCCAAACAGTAAAAATAAATGCAATGACTAAACTTAGTGTATGAAGCAACTGGATTTATTTGTAACGACAGAGCTTCTGTTTTACTTACTTGAATGAATTTGCAGTGTTAGCAGTGGTTATGTGTTCTTTGTTGTTGGTTTTGGTTGTTTTGTTTAGTTTGTTTTTAACAAATTCTGGTGGTCAGTTCCTTCTACCATGTCCCTTGCATGCATGCAATATCACTTTCGTTAGCAATCATCACATTTGTCAGTTCTGCATCAAGATGTGTATTCAAGTGTTGATTCAACTCAGTTGGCAACCAGTTACTTGGTTGGAGGTGTACTGACGTGGAACAAAATGCTGAACTGTACAGCTTTTGTGGAACAAGCACTGTGATGCAGGATTCAGTATCTGTATTCAATTTGACGTTTTCCCTTTTCATGAATGCTCTTCCTTATTTCATTCCATCACATTTATTTAAACATCTTTTCTCATCTAGATAAACAGTGAAATCTTGTTTGCTTAGCCATAATGCTTAGCCCTTTAATATACCATCTTTTAGGAAATTATTTTTCACTGTTACGTTTGTACACATCAAGAACATTTTACATGAAAGGAATAAAGTAAAAGCCATTCATGATACATGAATCTGGTATCGATCTTTTTGTATCCATAGATTTCAGTGCACTTTACAGTCCTCCCAAGATAACTAAATGATGATTTAGAATAGAGGTTTAACCTCATTGTGTTTTTAACAAGGGAGGATGTACTTGCTTGGTAGGGATTATTCTTTCAAGAAACACTGAATTGCTTTACTTCAAGAATGGGAGAAAAATTGTAGTAATGTTTACAGTGACAAAAATAAAATTTTTTGTAGTGTTCATGCATAATAAAGCTTGTCTGATCTTTCTGAATATTTAAAAATATTGCTGATGTCAGTGGAAAACTGCAGTGCAACAGAAAGGCTTGTAATAGTTAAATGTGCAGTTTTAAAAGGTTAGTACTCACTGTTGTGATCCTAATTACAACTGAGCTTAATTATAACCTTCACTTGAGTATAGATATTTGCAAAGTTTAAATTGCTTTAAAAGTTCTTAATGGAAATCATTAATTCAACTTCATTTTGATCTTGTTCTGTATTATCATGCAAAATGAGAGCTGTCAAATGACCAGCTTAAAAGCCCTGGTGGAGCAGGATGTTTTCTTGCCGTGCGCTCTTTGTCCTCCTTTTACTTGTCTGGTACCTAAACATAATGTGAAGTGTGTTGGGTGTTTTTTTTTTTTTTTAAATCCCTTTGCAGTAAGGGAATATAGAAGTAAAAGATACTATCCAGAATCTGACAGTTTTCTGGGCAGAGAGAGCAAAAGCTGCTTAGATTTGTATGCAAGTCTGCCATCTACTCTTTTTCTTCTGCCTTTTCTTCAGCTACCAAATGGAGCATGTTTAGGATGTGAAGTTATCTCTGGAAAGTCACGGTTGTGCTAAGGATAATTTCTGTTAGGTTTATTCACTGTTCTGTAACTCAAATGGCATTGGAGAAAATGCAGTCCCTGAGAAATTAAGCTTTAATTTATTACTTTGTAAGACCTTTTCAGTCTCTTCTCTTCCTGTCAACTGTGCTTTCCATTTTTACTTGATCCCCACTTCCTCAGTCTTTACTTTTTTTGATTTCCAACTTTTGATCTGAGAAACTGGGAACTGACTCAGTCTGTCTCTATGTTACTTCTGATTTTGTGTGGCCTGTTGTAGGTGATGTTGTGAATGGTAGCTGCTCAGTTCTTCCAGCAGCAGGGCAAAAGGGGCCTTCTGACAAAGTGTGGCTGGTAAGTATCTCTGCAATTGAAAACTTCCTCTTGTTTATTCTAAGTCATTTTAATGCAGAAAACAAGATACCTTTACATATTAACAAAAATCAGCTCTGCCATCCACAGTAATCTGGTTTATAGATCTCTTATTCTTATATATTTGACATATTTCAAATACTAAATACTACTGCAAAAATAATATCCACCGGGATGAACATACCAATTTAGAAAGTATAAATGTGTGTCAAACTAAATTGAAGCTGCTTCAACCAATACAGTATTTAATAACAAACTAGTCAAAATGTTTTATTCAATAACTTCTTCTGCTGGAACAACTTCCAAAAGCATCTGAAGGTGAGTAGTGATGGGCTCTGAGAAGAAGAAGTTTTTGTTAGAGGTTTATAAAAGAACCTTATTTCCATTCAATTTTACACTACTTTTCTAAATGAGAAAATTAACCTTCTAAGTAGTTATTTTCCTTTTCTGTACTGGTATCTCAAACTTTAAAGCAGGGGGAGGGCAGGAAAAAACGATATTAAGATCCAAGTTACGAAATTCCAAGGTTTCTAATCTTGATCTCAATAGACTACACTGCTTCAAATTCATAATTGTATAGTATGAAAAAACTCGGGGGCCACAGGGAAAAGACAGATGACAGACAGTCTTTAGTGCCAGTAACACTGCTAATTCTGTCAGTTTTGTCCAGCCGGTTCCACTTTCCCCTTTAGCGATATCTGTATCCCGTTAGTTCCCTGAGAAAATAACCTCACAAGAAACTCTTTACTATGCAAAATTGTTTTATAAATAGTCCCATTTCAGTATTGTTCTTGCTGCTTTTACTTCACTCAGCAGCACTGTGATCAGTTTTGCTCTTAATATTGTTAATATTCTCTGTAATAAACTGTAAAATCAATTAAGTTGACCTGACAGCAGAGTATTTAGTAGCACAAAATAACATATCTGCACAAAATAACAGATCCTTAGTTAATGGCTAGAACTTTCTGAAATGAGGAGAATTAAAAAACTAATTCCAGAGTTAAAATAATCCTGTTCATTAAAAGTCACTTTGTTTGTGCTAATACAGTGATGTATTGCTTTTCAAAGCCTTTCATGAACCAATTTTTTTCTTCTTTAAGTCAGATGTAACTTTTTTCATGGGGCAACAGTAGACAGTAATCTTTACTAAAGCTCTCTGTGGTACCTTGTGTTATCAGTCCGGAAGATTGCCTCTCTCCCTGCCCCCCATGCAATGCCATATGGGATGGACCATATAACGAGCTTTGTTAGGGTAAGGATTGTTAGCTATAGCCTCCAAATTCAATAGAACATTGCTAAGCTATCTGCAGTATACTTACTTGATATTTTTTGAGCCCAGTTGAATTTAAAATGAACAAAAAGTACATAAAATATAAATCCACTGAGTATAAATAAGGCACAGTACAAATACGCCATTTCGGGTGCAGTGATGATTGGTGCCAATACCAGTAAAACGGAGACTAATGTCACTATGATCGGAATGACAATGGGTATCTGCAAGATACAAAGCATAAAAACTCTTATCAAATTTTTCAACTGTTTTTATAGATGTTGATATGAAAGCCGCTCCATAACATAGGTTATTGTCATTGTCTTAAGGTGCCTTTTTTTTTCCTTTAAAAATTTATAGATAGAATTAGATGAGGCAGTTGGAAAAAGTTGCAAGAGTATAGATAGGGAAAACTCTTAGGCTAAATCATTGGCCAAGATCCCTTTGCCTATATTGCAGATTGCAATGTAACAATTCTCATACAGTTTAATGAATCCAGAACCTGATTCCAGTGCAATGAACCTTGGGTCTTATTTCAGATATTCTTTCAGTGTTAGTCCTCTGACTGCAATTTTCCACTCCTGAAAATCTGCACCTAAATTTCTGCCCATGGTCTCTGTACAAGTGAAAAAAAGACCACTGCCTGGGCCTTCGCCAGCCATCATGAGCTTGTATCGACATTCTAGTGCAGAATTTGAACAAAGAAAATAACCTCAGTTAAATGGTCAGTTTCCTTTCCCCCTTTTTCCTTTATTTATTTATTTATTTTTAATTCTAAAGATACAAAGGAAGGCGTCTGCCTCAAGATACTCTGTAAATCTCCAAACTTTTAGGATGAGTGCATGTTTTACTATTTATGGAAGTAGAGGAAAAGCCATGCCAACTGCTGAACTTACCCTAATTGGTCTCCTGAGTTCTCTTCTTGTAAACCTCATAACAATGAGTGCAAATACAGTTAAGCCATAAAATATCCAGACTGCAAAACTAAAATAGTTTATGAGTGTGTCAATGTCACCAGGGAAAATATAAATAATAGTAATGGCCCCCTAAAATGAAAACAAGAATTAGTATAGCCATTATAAAAGAGGGTTGAACTTCACTGATGTGTAGTTATGGGTGTATGTTTACAGCGTTCCAGAACGTGGTCTGTGGATGAACTTCACTTTATGTGTAGGTAAGGGTGTATGTTTACAGTGCTTCAAAATGTGATCTGTGTGTGCTTTTCCTTCAGCTTTTGGGTGTGAGTGAATTGTAGGGTCTGTAAGGATAGCGCCCATATCCTGCTAACTTTTTTCTTTTTAAGTCAAGAGACTTAAAATTATGCATGCGTTAAAAGTATTAATGCTGCGTTAATCTGTTTTGTTGTTGCCTGCCTATCTGCTGAACACAAGGAAGAGTTTTTATGCCAGTTTTTTTTTTAAGGTTATTAAAGTCATTGCGGTGGGAGAGCAATTGAATTTTGAATTTTCCAGAACAGCAGTTATCTTTTTTTACCTTGAAAATAAGTGGGCAAGATAAATAATAAATAAAACAGTTGTTGTAAGATTTTATAGATTTAATTTAAAATACATTTACTAGATTATAGGTTTTTTTTTTTTACTGGAGAGATGTAAATGCATTGTTACAAGGAGGAAATAATAGTGATATCTTTCTTTCAGACGCATCCTGTGGAATAAAGGTTTGTCCAGTACTAATAGTTTATTTAATATTTCTTTTAATTTTTTTTGCTATGCTGTGAACTTTTAAAGGCTTTTTTGTTTGAAAATCCAGTTCTGGACTTTCAACTATATATTCTAACTATATCTTCTTCTTTCCTAATATGTATTTAGTAGTTTTTCTGTTTAGATACTCATATGCAGGTCATAATCCTGCAGCGATGCAAAGAGTTCTGTGTCAAAACCAGGGGTAAGAAATTTTGAAAAGCATGTATCACTTCAGATTTTTTTTGTGTTTTGCTGTACTGAGAATGCATACTTACATAAAATATGATAGCAGGTGCTGGTGTTAAACGCTTAACACTAACGTAAGACAGCACCTTTAGCATGTGCCCTTCACGACCTGCTACATAAACAAGTCTGACAAAACAAAAACAAGGCAGTCTAGTTAGTGTGGTACTTAAAGTTTAGGTGCTGTTACTTAAAAAAAAAAAATGAGAAAGCTTTATTTTGAGTGCCATTACTTTTCAGTGGCTACAGTTGGCAAGAATTTCCCTTGTGTGCTACACTGGACCTGCTTTGCAATGCAGTGGAATTTAAGGAATACCACAGCAATGAGCTTGAATCTGGTTGTGTTCTTAGAATCATTAGTTTGTACATTCCATTTGACTAAAAATATTTTGGAAAAAATGTATTAGCTCCTCTTTTAATTAGATATTTCCTTTTTAATATGCTTCATATCAAAAAGCTACCTCGACAGTCTTCTGTCAAAATCAGTCTTTCCAGCCCTATGATATTCAGACGGATTTGAAATTTAGGTTATTTCAAAATAGTAGATGAAAATGTCGAACATTTGATAAAAAGGAATAGCTTCTCTTTCCAATTCCTATCCTGACAATTGGTAGTATAATCATGTTCTTACTGTTAAAAACTTTTCTTCTGCTTGATGAATAGTTTTAAACAGCCAGAGAAAGACTTTTGCACCACACCTGCTTTAATTTAAGAATCAGAGACCTTATTTTCTAACTTTTTTTTTAAACTTGCATAGCCACTGCTCCTTTTTGAAGGGTGAGCCATATGGCTAGATTTGCAAGTACTTTTTAATAAGGTTTTGTACGTTTCGATCAGAAGAATATATGTATCTATCTATGTGTATGTATGTAGCAGTAGATTATATATATAGATATATAGAGAGAGATTTTTTTCACTTATTTAAAAAAAAAAAAAAAGGAAAGCTATTTAAAAGGGGAGCTTACCTGCCTGCAGTAAAACAGGTTCCATTGGCAGATCCAATTGTAGAAAAGGCGACAAAGAGAGGAACTATCCAAGAGGCTGGATAAAGGACTCTATCCCCAAATGTCTGGAATGTGGGATTAAAAGGAGTCATTTTTCTGCTATTTGGCATGTTCAGTAATGTTGGAGCCCCTTAAGAAGGAATACTGTAAATAGATACTTAACCTTTTTATCATTAAGTCTATATCTATATGTTGTATATTTTCTTTTGTTATCTAGAAATACTTTGCCAAATGAACAGCTGAGTTATTTCGTGCAGCACTCTAAAGAAAACTGGAATATTGTTGTCACAGTGTTTAAGATGCAGCATGTGTTGAAAGCATTGGGAAACAGATGTATTCTAATTCAAAAACACCTGCTTTGCAGATGTGTCTGTAAATCAAAACAAAAGATAACTGCGGCAGAGCCAGCTATACGCAAACTGGCTTCAACTTATCAAGAAAGAGTAATAATAGTAGCAAAGGCATGACAAGCTAGCTTTTGTCATTGATGAACACATGAAGCACAAACTTCCTGAGGTCTTTCATTACATGTTTTCATTTTTACCTATTCCATCGTATGTTGGCTATTGTTACTGCAGGATAGATTAGATATAACGGAGGTACATTTATCTAGTGTAAATGAATTTTGGTGGTTTTGGGGGATTTTGGTAAATAAAAGGGAAGCTTAAGAATTCTTTTTTTTTTTTTTAATAAGTGTAACATCATGAACGGTACAATTTATTTATCCAGTACTAGGACACTCATCGACACTAAGCAAGAAAGCTACTTACTGATGTATTAGACCTCTTTATATAGTGCCCTCCATTTCTTTGTCTGTTTGGTGTGCCACCTTTATACTGCTCAGTGGCAGTTCTGAAATTTTCTTGTTAATTCAGTCTGATCACGTTAGCGCTAGCTGGTGTATGCTGTTTAGAAAGCTTATGTTTGCTGGTACACTGAAGAGGAGTAGTTGTTAAATTTGGCATAATTTAAGATACGATTAGGTACTCACTGCTTTGCCTATTGGAGCAAACAAGATGCAGAAATACACCAAAATTCTGCAATTTCAAAGCAAGGTTCTATTTTTCATGTTCTTAAATATTTCTACATTAGTGCACCTTTTTTTGTCTTACGCCGCATTCTGCATGCGCACCACATACTGTTCGTTTTCCCCTAAAACTAACATAAGGACAAATACCGCCAGTTGGTCAGATACTTGCTGTAAAATTGCTACATGGCCTCTTAACTATTGTTTTGCAGACAGGTGTCCCATGAGCCTGAAAAAGCGTTGAGTGGAACTGAAGGGACAGATGTGGATATTCTTAAGATTTTTAGAATTCCATATAATCTTTAATGCATTTCTTCTGCAATACCATCTTGTAACAATGTAAGAAGGATATTTCTTTGCTTTGTTAAGAAAAAAGCAAGAATAAGGAAGAAGTTAATTATGGACTGCTTGCCATTATCTCCAGAATGGCAGTTTGATCTACTGTCATTTTGTAAGTGCTTGTCTCATAAATACTGAAAAGGACAAAGCAGCGGTCAGATGTTATTTCCTTCCATCCTTTCAGTGCTTATGGAAAACAGTCAACTGTTGAGCTGCAGTGTTTACAAAATGTTAGAAGAAAATTCTTTTACTTTCATTTGCATTTTTTTTTCCTGGGATATGACAGAAGTAGTTTTTAAATTAAGCCTTACTAGAATAAATTTTAGGTTAAGAAATGATGGTAGATAATGAAGGGAAAAATCAAGGTAACACGGACAACTTATAGACAGAAATTACTTGTATCTTTAAAAATTACCTTTTTTTTATTTTACTTGTGTTGCTGCTGAAGATACTTCAGTGTGCACAGTCTTTTATTAGATGCTTTACTAGAAAATGAGAAGTGGCTTACCACAGCAGCTGCCTGGGACTGCAGCAGTTCCGTTGAAGTCATTACGGTGAAATACGAAACATTTATCAGAACATAACAAACTGTAACCAAGGGGATTCCAATAATTATAGATAGTGGTAGATTTCTAGAGAATGCAAAAGTAATAACAGTATCAGCATTGCTAGATCACTGGCAGCTTTATGGTAGTAAAATGTGGGCTCTTACTTTCTTTTCCCCATATGCTCATAAGGTATATTTACTCTTTTTTTTATTGCAGAGCCATGGAAATCGAGATGAAAAAAGAGAAAAATTCACAAGCATATGAAACCCAGAAGAGATACTAATAGCTCTTTTGTCTGCTAGTGCTCAAAGCTTGGGAATAACCATTCCTGTAAAAGACAAACCAAAATACATGCATGCTTGTATGAAAATACTAAATGCTTGACTTTATCATTAGAAATACTGCTTTCCTAGGTAGTTTTACCTGTATGGATTTTTAAGTTCTTCTGTGATATAATTGAGTTGATTCCTGGAAGGAGAAAAAAATCATACAATGTTATTAGCAGTCAGATGTTGAAATACTAATTTATATTAAGATCACGTGCTATTGCTAGTGGTGGTGTTACTTTTTCAATTCTTAAAAACATAAAATAGAAAGGAGTAGGTAAGGTCTTTAAATGGAAAAATAGGAGGGCAGAAACCATTTCTTTTTTGCCTAGCTGTCAGCCTCTTGATTCACTACATGACACTTCTTTTCCTCCACATTAGTTATTCAAAGTTTAGATGTATCTGTTTTTAAGAAGTCTAAGATTTTGAAATAAGGTTGTTTTAGTTTTTGGATCAATGCTCCAGAATGACAAAACAAAAATTTGGCAGACATTTAACTGAAATTCATAAGGTTGCTTTTGATCTTCAAAAACTTTGCAATATTTGAGTCTTTTCAGGTAAAAGCACTAGCATACCCTTTGCAAGAACTCGAGCGAGTCTGCTAACACTTCACAGTGGATCTGTAGGGTATATTGTCTGCAAAATTTGTATAAAAACCTTTAAGTTACACCTGTCAGAATTTTAAATTTCAAGCACTGTCTTTTGCTAGACCATGTAGACCAAAATTGAAATTTTTTTTCACTCTTCCACTTCCTAAAATGTGAATAATAGGTATTTACAGTTCAACAGGCTAGTTTCCAATTTCAGTGCCTGATGTTAAATATTTAAATCGTTATTCGGGCATCAGCTGTTCTACACTACCAAAAATCTAGGTAAATGTCTGAGCAGTAGACTTAGAATGCCTCACTTGAGGCACTCAAGCTCGGAAAGAGAACCGGAAAGAATAATCTATTTAAATATAAAGTCGGTTTCAAGCATGTAAATGAGGCTTACTTAACTGTGAGTTAAAGTCTATATTCTTACTTCCTTTTGGAATATGGATCTCTCTGCAAACTTTCAAAGTTTGAGCACTAAGAATAGCTTTAGTGGATCAGAAATCATTGAAGAAATGTGAACTTGCCTTTTTGCAAAGCACCTTAAGCAAAAACAGACAATACAGATCCTACAAGTAGATCTGTGCCAACAGAACCCTCGAGCAATTGACATTCACTTGGGTTTCAGGGTTTGAAATGTGTGAACTGTGTTCTGGAGTGTAGCAAAGATAAATTACATATTCCTGTCAGCAAATAATAAGCCTAGCATTATGAAAATAATACCTTGAAAGCATTCTTCTTAGTGTCCTATTATATGCAGAATATAAATGCTCTATGTAGAAGAGAAATGTAAATGCTTTCATATTTGATTATTTTTAAGTGTTTACTTTGAACTAAGGCCATAGAAAATAATGGATAAATGGATATGGGGATTTAATGGAAGGCTTCTTGGGGAAGGAGACTGCGGTGTATTTTATATTAATACCAAATGAAACTGAACAAGGCAAAAATAGAAAAGTTGAACTGTATGGACTCTAACATAAAATGCATTTTTGTATATTTTCCTATACTGGTCAAACACCACAAATCAAACATCAGTACACATTTCACAGAAACTAAAATTTGACTGGGTAACATATAGAGACTCCAGGAACACTACTTCCTGTAACATGGATAAGATTAAACTTGGTTTTATACTTGCCTCATTCCCACCAAATCTAAGTATACTCAGCAGCAAATCAGTAGCCCTTTTAGGATCTAATATGTTTTTTTTTTCCCCCTAATAAACAAAAACATGAGGATCTGATTTTTAAGAAACTACTGCTCTTTTTCCAGGATTCGTTAAGGGGTTCTCAATTACAAGTTAGGTGTTAATTTTTTCAGGTTGCGTCTTTTGAGTACAACAGGGAGAGACTAAACTAGTTAAAGGCTGTTAAAGTGTAACTGATAGCACTAGTAAAGATACCTTACCATCCATCATATGCCCAGAGTCCATTATAAAATGCGAGACTGATAGAACTAAGAGAAATTTTACTGTCCTTGAAAGAATCTTTAAAATTTTCAGTTTTCCCTGCAAATAAAACAGACTGGTTACTGATTGATGTTGAAATTAATTCCTTTTTTCACTACTAGATGAAAAAATATTCCAACATCAATTTCCTTTTTGAAATGTCTTACTCTTAAAGTCATCTATTGACACTGTTTTTTATGAACTGATTTATAGTGTTGATTTCCCACCACCTATGTGCGCATACATGTGCACGTGTGCACACCCAGGCAGAATGCCGTCGAACTTGAATTGCTTTTCAATCCTGAGAACTGAATACCCTTGGTAAAAGCAAATACAATGGTTCTAGCATTAATCTTGCACAAAATTCAGCATTAAAACACTGATAAAGAGCATTATTGTTGCGTTGTTCCTATCAGTGAAAGATTTAAAATTGATCACAGCAGAAACTAAAATCACTGTTGCAACTTGATGTATATTTCATTACCTTGCGCAAGAAGAACAATTCCACTTACAATAATGATTGTGACAATGATCATTTTAGCAGCTGTGAGAAAATTCTGGAGGTAGCGTCCCAGCTTCACGCTCAGTGAATTCACTACTGTAATTATCACTGGAAGAAATAAATTCATATTGCTCACATCAAGTTTGTCATAATTAAAAATAATAATAATTACATGAATAAAATTGACAAAGAGACGGAGGAAAAAGCAGTGTGGTAAATAAGGGGGAAAAGGTCTTAAAAGGCAAGTTTTTGTTTAATGTGCTGTGTTTGCAGGACTTCAAAAAGTAATGAGGAAAAATCTTTTCTAAAAGATGCATACTTTGAGAATACCTTTAAGAAAAAAAAAAGTTGGTACGATTTTTTGATAAATACAGAAATTACAGAAATAACATCTCCACACTTGCCATTTGTCTTTTCTGGCAGAGGTAAGCATTCACTGGGCGTCTTATATTAGTATAAATAAATAAATACAAAAAAAGAGATTTAAAAGTTGTTTGTTCTTAGCCTGTATGTTGCTGAACTGGCTTATTGTGGGAGAGACTCACTGTATTGTGCTACGAGGTTTCCCGTCTTTTTTTCATTGTAAAGCTGCTTTCTGATGTCTTTGTAATGATTAATACACATAAGTCTTATGATACTGAAATGCATTTGATGATGAGGCTAAACAAAAATTGCTAGGCAATTAAGGAACTTGCTGCTGCTTTTTAAAAGAAAAGTGTAAATCTTACCAATGGCAGCTGCTGCAAGACATTTGATGACAACTAGGGGTGGATCACAACCTGGATAAAAAGGAGCTGCTGCATATTCTGCAAAGCTGAGACAAATGATTGCAAAAGAACTGGGTTTGGTGACGAGTAAGCTTGTCCAAGAAAACAGGAATGCTGGAATTGGGCCAAACGCCTCCATAAGGTAAGGATATTCTCCCCCTGATTTTGGGATCGTTGTACCAAGCTCAGCAAAACAAAGTGCACCTGAAAAACAAGAAATGCACTCAGTAGTGTTGGTCTAGTTTATACACTTCTTTTAAACTGTGACTGCTTTGAACAGGTTTTCTGTAGGTGACACAAAGGTAAGGAGCTGGATATACACAATGCTATGTTTCATGAAATTTTTCAGCGTTATTCTATGTACTAAATAAAATTTTAAAGAATTGTGATAAGTAGTTGTATGAGTTTGGGAAAAAATACACAAACTTTTAAGTTAGAGTTCAGAATGTATTGTTTGTTTCTAAGTTAAGACCAGCAAATTAAGCACAAATCTTGCAGGTTTGTCTGTTTGCAAGTGCATCAAATGAATGCAATGTTTAAGGGGTAGTTACTTCCAGCAGCTTTTTTCTCATTATCTGCTATATATATTGTGTTTTATTGTAAATGCTGTACAATGAATTCATTTTCAAATGTATCAGAATTCAGTTTTAGAGTGAAGACAATTTTTTCTCACCTGTGTTTTAAAAAAATTCTTTAGCATAAGATAGTTTAAGCTACACTTTCACATTAAGTTTCTTTTCAAGAAATGTCCAAATGATAATTGGGCTGGCTGACTTAGCAATTGGAAACATAAGAGAAGAAAAAAAGGGGGAAAAAAAAAAGGGGGGGGGAGGAGGAAGGAAGATCTTGTTGCACAATAATCAAAGTAAAATGTCCATTAAGATCTGCTTTAAAGTGCATTGCCTTTTCTAAATTTATTACTGTAGCTGGCATCTTGTCGAAGTGCTGTGTACCTGACACAATGCATAAAGAACTTCTTGTTTTATTTGTTGAAGTACTTTGTGAAGAGGCTACCTAGCCCTAAATTTGCTGATGCTAGAAGGGGTTGTACTTGAAAAGATTTACAAAAACATTTATATAGATAGAAAAGCAGCAGATGTCTAGCCCGCTGCCAGTAAACTTCACATGTTATTTTGCTATTGATTTAAGTAGAAGTATATTCTGTTTATTACAGTTGGTGGATGGAGTATGCAGAACTAAAACCTGAAAACGTGCTTTAGAGTTTTGAAATTGAATTTACCTTTTACAAACAGCATTCTGTGTTTTAAACTTTTACCTAAACATTGCACTCCTCAGTGTATGATGGATTTGGGTCTAGGTGCCATTACCTAATTTGTGAAATGAGAATGATATGTAAAAATGGTAAAAACAGAGATTTAATCAACAATTCAAAATCTTGGCTGATTTGTTTTGTTTACCCAGTGTTGCAAGAAGTCCACAGGCTGCCCAGATGGTTAAACAAGGACCCACAGCTCCGACATTGGCAAGTACTGATTTTGGAGAAACAAAGATACCTGAGCCAATAATTGTACCAACAATCATACAGGTTCCACTGATCAGGCCCACCTTTAAATAAAAGGAGACATTTTTGGTAAAGTAATTTGTAATAATTTAATCATTACTCTCATATTAAATTGAAAGTAATTGTCATTACTTTCTCTTTCAGCTTTTCACATATAACTTCTACTGAGTAATATTTTAAACTATGTGAAACTTATCTTTTTTTTCTTCCAAGATGCATTTTCTATGGCAGAATCCTGCTATTTCTAAAAGAACAGTTACTTGGCCTTTGCCTGCCTGAATGTCTGGCTTTATGAAATTGTCCTTTGGATTATGTGGGTCTCAAATCCAACTTCATGTGGTTGAACATCCTCTTCCTGCTTTTTAATTAGACTCTGACAATACTGAGTACTTGTGGATTTTTGAGTTTTCTGAATTTCAAAGGTTTACTTTTTTGGATGGAGTATACAATTTTTCTCTTATCAATTTCTCTTCTTGCTGCAGGTATTTTTGCATAGGAATTATCTGGGTACTGATCGGTGGTGAATGTGTCTCGTTTTCCTCCCGACTTTAAAGTAACTAGAGTATGACATGGAGCTACTGAAACTTCCAGGCATCTCCTGCTAAAAATGCAATGGCATGGGCTACTTAGATTTTCCTGTTAGTTACGAATAGTCTAATGACTTGATATTTTGCCAGTCTCCATTCTTCTTATCACCCAACTAAACTGCAAACATCTCTCCTTATTCTGTGCCTCTGAGACCCACTCAAACCACATGGAGCATCTTTTTCCAGTTTGCTTAAATTGTAAGAGGAATTACACTTTTCCTCTGAGACACTTGTGAAAAATAAATGCTCGTGAACTGAGACAATGCAAAAGCAGTGCAATAAAGTATGAATCTGAGATTAAAATGGGTATTTTTTTTTCTAAAATGTTTCTTGTAATTTTCTGGGATAGAAAGGTTGCCGTTTGTTTCTGAGCCAGATGTATGAATATCTAGTGCTGCCTAGTGGGTATTTTATGGATAAAAACACTAGTAAGTTTTCAGAAGCAGTGAGCTGAACACCCCACTTCAGCCTCTCTGAGAAGTGTAAGTGGTAAAGAAGGGTAGCGTTTATGAAATGTCACTTGGCTAAATTTGAAGCTAATACACAGATCATTCAAAGACTTAAAAAATATATATATAATAAATCCACATTTTCTGATTCCTTTATATCAGAGCTGCTTAACTAGTAAAAAGTAGTTCCTTAACATGAAAACCAACCACAATGTCATGATGATACATTAGTAAGTCAGTGCTAAATGGGACACAAGTGCAATTTTTGTAAGATGATATGTGCGCACAAGTATGCCCCTACTGCCTGCCTCAGCCAGCCCCACATGCACACACATACTGGGGGGGGGGGAAACAAGCTTTGCCTCTTTTTGCAGATTCATAGTTTTGAGTTCATCATTCTCGATGGATTGTCCATCCTCTTTTCTGTTGTCCTCGCCTTTTCTTTTCCTCAAATTTTCTTCACCCATTTGGGTAATTCGTTGAAATCTCTAAGGAAATCAAAACAAAATTTTAGTCTAGCATATTTTGTTGTTTTTTTGAGTTCTGCTGGTGTATATATAGCCCATACTGGACAGTATAGTTAAGTAGAACCAGAAAACTGAAAAATAAATTGCAGAGGACTTGCACCTAACTTACTTGTTTAGAGTTTAAATTGATGAGGAGTTATGTCTCCTTTACTTCATCTGTCAGACTTAAGTGTCGATATTCCTGACACGCACCTAGCAGTGATTCTGATCTTAGTCTCAGGTTGCATTCATTGCAGAAAAACTCTGTACTGGAATAAGCTGGGCTTGCCTAGCTAGGCTGCCTTTGAATCCCTCCGGGGGGTCCAGACAGATTTAATCATCCTCCTAGAAACTGGTTTGTTTTCTTAACCAGGAGACATTCTGTCTGATCTTGATTAAAATAGGCCTTGTCTCAGTTCTTTGGAGATGCAAGTATCTGTCAGACCAAATGTCATTTCCTGTAGCTGACTAATTAACAGCTCCTTGCCTCAAAAGAGGATATCATTCTCAGTGTTGACTCAAGGTGAACATCTACTCAACTTTACTGTTCTATTTAGAACTAAAATGCAAACAGATTTTTTTTTAATTTAAATTCAGATTTCTGAATTCTATTTTTTTCATCCGAATATTGCTTGTTTCCCACAATATTGGAATAAAGTACAAAAAATTTTGGAATAAAGACCCTATATTTATATTTCTTAGAATGAGAATGTTAAAGATCATTTTGCAGTTACATAGATAGTAATTCAAGAATGCATCATATGTAAGCAATTTATGTAGCATTTAATAATTCCTAGCTTTTGTGTAGCATTTTAGATTAAGAGAACACTTATCTTGGTACTGATGATCTTTAGAAATGTTTGGTCTATAAACATAACTGGTTTATGTTTCGAATTAAAGATGAACATCAAATTCCATCGTGAATCCAATTTAAGATTCAAGCCACAATAGAAAATCATGCACGTAAGGAAAGCAGGGCTTGGGTCACTGGATTCAGTTAAAGCTTGGTGCCCAGCTTCTCTCTTGAAAGTTTTGTAATTAGAATGTTTTAATCATTATCTTTTAGCAATTTGCACTTTCACTTACCTTGTTTGTTTATTTTTGTTCAGTGTAAATCAGGCTCCAGGAATCTTTGTACAGTGTATTTCTTTATTTCTCCATCCAGATTTACCAGTTAGTTAGACATGTCCATGACTGAAACCAGAATATGCAGAAGCAGCAGCAGCTTAAGTACAGAGGTTATAAAAGGTAATTATTAAACCCATTCTCAGCCAAGAAGCTTTGAGATAGGAACCACAGGTAAACCAATAGTCCAATTAGTTTATCTTTAAAAAAAAAAAAAAAAAAAGTCTTTGTTGCATTTGTGAGAATGTTTGTCCAGTACCTAAGTATTATATTACATAGTGAGAGTGAACCATAATTTGAAGAGTCTGTTCTGATAATTTTATGTCAAGTTATTTCTAATTCAGAAATGCTGTGGGAAGATAACCTTGAAGTAATTATTGCATTATTGTGGGTGTATTAAAGAAGCTGTCCAGATGTTAGCTGCATCCCATAGAAATAGCTGGGGGTTCTTTTATCTTGAGAATGGAGAAGTGTGAGCAGAAATCCTTGCTTTGTTTTTCATTAACCTGAAGGCAGCTGAGTAGGCAGGCTGTGTTCCCTTCACTTGCAGTTCTAATTAATTTTTCATTTTTGTAAATGCTTAAAATCTTGCTTCAGTGAAAAATGTCACACTATTTTTAGAGCTGTATATCTAGGAAGAATGTATTGTTATCCTGAATGCTGAACTAAAAAAAAAGTTTCATTCGTTCCCGCTAGTTATCCCTAAAATACTTGCGAAATAGAAATCATAGCCTGAAAACTCCAGATCTAGCCTCCGCTGTTCAGCAGACATTTGAAAGTATGCATGTGTGTGTTGCTTGTTATTAGTACTCACATAACATTTTAAACAGCTGTTATTTTAAAAACAAAAAACAAAAAAAAAATTAATCATGTTTCATTTCATTAATTTTGATAATGCAGTTGTATAGATGCTTTCCTGTGACTAAAAATGCATTCTGATAAAATCAGAAACATCCCTATATTGGTTTATGTTTGCCCCGTCTTGGGGTGGTTGAGCCAGGCCCTGTGCTGTACCTGTCTTTCTCCAAGACTGAGGTTACAAAGAGTTGTCTGTGCTGAAAACAAGACCAAATAAAGCTGTGTTTTTCTCTGTCTGTCTTTTTTCTCCTTCTTTTTTTTTCTTGCTAATTCTCATAGAAATAAGATTCAGCTTGAAGAGGGAGTTCCATCTCAATTAACTTTTCTCTTCTTGTACGAAAATTGTTATTGCTATCTGAATGATGGTCAGTCAAAAGTTTTTATTTTTCTACAGATAAAGGAAAAGACAACACAGGGTGCTAAAATGAGTCTTAAAAAAGTCTTATTTAAAGCATATTAAAAAGTAAAGTATTAATTTTCCTCATTTTTCCTGCATTTTTTACAAAGGCTTTAATATTTTTCTTTTCATGACAGTATTGATGATGATTAAGTAAACTTCTTCTCTGTCTATTGGCTCTAGATATTTAGAGTTTGGTGCTGTGAATACTATATATATAATTTTTAATATATTTTATATTCTCTAGGCCTGATTATTTTGAAATTAAAGAGTTACAATCTTGTAATCACATCTATGATTTTACTGAAATGCCACAGACTATTGAAAGAGCTAATGTGAAAAGAAAAATTATGTAAAAAATGTTTTTCACATAATCCATAGCCCGGAATTTATAGGAAAAAAAGCAAAAAAAAAAAAAAAAAAAGGTAACTTTAAAAAGATAGTGGACTATGTCATCTTTAATTCCATATTAATTAAGGTTTTGCTTAGGAATTTTCTTAGATTAAGCACAAAAACTTAAACTGTTTAGAGATGAGGGTTCATGTAATCTAGACAATGTATAGTGATTAGAGTGGGGAGTCTTGAGTGTTGTGTGGGGAGTCTTTAAAGTATTGTGTGCAGATGCATGTCCTGAACTTCTAATGATGTTTTCAGATTTTTCTTCTGCATCAGATCTGTATTTTGCTCTGTTTCTTCAGATGCAGGAAAGGCAGCATTGACAATTATTTGCATTTTTGACAAAGAAACTAATTTCTTGCCTCAACCCAGACTGTGTATTTGTAGAGTTTTCATCTGTTGAATACAGGTTTTAGATCTCTGCCAGTGGCCTGACCTTAGCTAGCCTGTTTCCTTATAGAAATGGAAAAGTGTATTCATTTATTGTCTAATTTTGTTTTAGAGGTTAATCTTTTTGGGATGCTATAGCTTGTTAAAGGATTTGCACTTCTACCAGCAATCCATCCTTTCCTGAGCTGCTTAAGGAAAAAATAAACAGTAACTTCAAGGATTCCATTGCTATGTCCTTTGTGGGCAAGCAAAATCATGTTTCACAGCTGGGGGAGAAGAATTCTTCACTCTCAAATATATAGGTAGATGAAGAGACCAAGCAGTTCAAATTCCAAGGGGCTGCAGAAGCAAACATTCTGTGGGTTGGTCCTATCTAAACAGCAGAGTTTGAACCTGTTCCAATGCTATCTACCAATTAAATCATAAAAAGTAATTTTCAACTTTAATTCAGGAAATAGCTAAGAGTGTATAAATACAGCTTTTATTATCATCACTAAGAATAAAGTTAATGTTTGTTAAGATTAGTATTTATTGCTTGCTGTAATGTACGTATTCTGCTTTGAATTGACAGCCATACTTCAGCAACTTGTAACAACTCTTCTAACCTGCACATTTTAGCTGCAGTGTGAACAGTGCCTCAGAAAAGATACTTTCTATCCTAATCTTGCGACTTAATAGATGACTTAATTTTAATCAGAGGAATGATTTGTTTACTTGCACTTGCTCTACTCTGAATTCTAACGTTAATAGACATGCTTTAAGAAGTTGTTCCTCTCCTGAGGTCAGCCTTAAATGCTTTTCAGTTATTTTTGTGAGTAACTGCAGACATGCTGCCAGTGGAATATGAGAACATAATATTCTTGCATAGCTGTATCAATTGGGCCATGCTTACGGGTTACAAAATCTCTGGCAGCCTATGGCTCTTCAATAGGAAAGATGAGATAACAATATCGTTCTTAATGCCCATAGTATATGTTTTTCAAATACCTGCATTTATTTTCCTAGTTAGTTTCTGGTTAAAATGCACTTGTTTTATTGCCCCATAACAAAAAAGCGGGGAAAGGAATAAGGCTGTAGAAAAGGTCTCAAGTTTGGTAAGGGTATTGCCTAAGATCTGCCTTGTTAGTACATATTTTTGATTAAGATAAAGTTATTTTCTGTAAGGTACTTAAGCATAGGAGTTTAGAGACTCTTCATAAAGCTGTAAAGGCAAGGTATGTCACTGTCCAAAAGAACATGAAAATTCAAGGAGTCCTTTCTCAAGGATATTTTAAAGGAATTCTGATGGTCTCTGAAGAAAATTGTGCATAGCTATATGAAGTTATTTTTTTAGAGCGTTCAGAAAGCTAAAGTGTCAACATGTTTTCAGAGCCTATTCAGAATTAGAAACATGCTCAATACACAGCATTTTCTGCTTTCTGAAGAAAGAGAACCTAAAATTCAGGTTGCGTTTCACTGGTGTGTTGGCAGTGAAGAACTGCTGAATAACCGCTGAATAGCCGTTGGCTTTGGCAGATTGCATCTATAGCGTGCCTGTTTCTACCTGGGGATGGAGGCAGCGAACGCTGAAGTCTCAGTAGTGCTTCTAATGCTCTGTGCTACTTCTGAAATCTCAGGCTTTGGGAGATCTAGCACAGGAGGAGATTTTGGGGCACTAAAATCCCTCAGTACAGAGCTAGTTATGGCAAAATGGTATTTCTGAAAGGAGAGGGTAACATTGTTCATACTTTTAACGGTTCACACTAGGTTAATCGTGTATGCATTGAACAGTGTGTGGCAAACCACAATCACTTTGACCAAACTCTCTTCTAATCCTGCTGATACCTTGAGAAAAATATCAGTGTCTTTGAGCTTGAATCATTGGCGTATACTTAATTCAGAGTGCAAAGGGTGCCCCCACGTTTTTGTCTATATAATGAATACTTCTTAGCTAAAGGATCATATTCATTTCTCCTATATCAATAATGAATTCCCTGATGGTGTCGAGGAAGGCCAAATAATTCAGCAGGTGTTTCATATGCCCAACCAGGAAAGTGAGCAGAAAGGATTACAAACATGAAATCTATTTCAAGTGTACCAATCCTTTCACTGTAAGACATTTCAAGGCGGACTTTATTTCATTTTTCTGTATGTGGTAATTCATGTCTGAGTGGTTTGCTCTTCTCCCTTGTTTCCCTCAAAATCAGACATCCCGTGTAGGTATCACTGCTCTAGTGACAGCCGGATCTCTGGGCCCACGGCAGCCAAGGTTTTGAAGTCCTTCAAAGAAGCAACTATAAGGGGGTAGGTGAAAAAATAGCTTCTCCGTATGTGTGTGTATGTGTGGTTTGCTTTGGTATTTTTCTCCTCACCCCTCCTTTCTTGTATTCCTTATTCACTGCTGTTTTTTTTTTTTCACTTCTGACACACCGTTACTTTGGAAGGACAGACACTAGAGACAGGTTATGCCTGTTATATTTGGATCACCTGTTTCCTTCATACCATCCATCTTCCCCTTTCTCAGAGACGCACTTAATGAAAAATAGTTACAGCGGGATGTGCCTCTCCATTGTGTGGCACAGTCTTAATGCTCTTACAGAAAACGTTACCAAGGGATTGTGTGTGTGTGAATGTGCTTAATCAGATGTGTTTGTTGAATGTGATTCCATGGAATGACGCTCACGTTTTTAGCCTGCTAAATATATGTGGGTAAGGGAGCTGACTTAATTCCAGAGCTTTTCCAAACCTTTCAAGAAATCTTTACTTGATGGAGGCACAAGTCAACTTCTCTTTGCAAGGGTTTAAATGCTGATCAGGTCCCAGATAAAAGGGTACCACAGAGAAAACGCGTTTGTTCAGTTTCTTATTGAATAACCAAGAATAAAAACAAAAATGATAGCATTTTCAACATTAGCTATCCTGTAAAGAGGTAATTCTTCCTACAGATAGTCATCCACATTAGAATAATTTGCATGCATAAAAGTAAGTGGTTGGGTTTTTTTTTTTTCATTTTATTTTTAAGACTTCTGAACCTTTTCAGTGTTTGTATTGTAAATCACTGTTCAGTTAAATCCCTAGGTCATTTTTTTTAGAGAAACTTTATCCCTCAATTTTTACATGGCAAAGCATTTTTAGAAACCTCTCGGGGTTGTCCAGTCTATCTATATGTTTCCA